AAGCAAATGTTCCCCCCAAAAAAATTAAAATAAAAAAAATGAAAAAAAAAACTTTTTTTTAATTATTAGTTTTTTCATAACATTTATTTACTTTTGTATTTGCTCGCCGTCGTTTTGCCAATCTCAACCTTTCCAGTTCGAAGGAACGCCTACATGCTTGCACGTCTGGTCACTGCAGCACGTTTCGTTCGCGTTGGAAGCCGGTGAAACAGTTGTGAGTTTTAATATTGCGTATACGAGCGAACTCAAGCCCTGTGTGTTTGCGTTAGTTTTACGTGTTCTACACTGCGCGTGCGCGGAGCCCGAAACTGCGGTCTTGGATGGCGCATGACGATGGGGCGCAGGCACAACGTGGGGCACGGAACTCTAACGCAAAGGCATACCGCTTGCGTTTGCTTCTATGCGCAATACTAAAACTCTCCAGTAAGGTACAATCCCATACCGGCTGCAGCACTACGTTGGGACAGTGAAGAGTCTTGTTTACATTCGGAAACGACATTTCGCGAGCCATGATCGCGAGCAGTTCCGCCATGCCCGCTGAGCAGGAGAGTCGGGGGACCCTCACTAGAGCGCTTCCCGTTTCCGCCGCGGGAGGGCGAGCGTCGAGCTGGAGACGCGAATAACGAAAAATTCAGCCGCCAGGATCAAAACACAAACGTGCGATTGTCATTTACGGATATTGTGGATCATATTCAACCTATTTTTGAACACGACGGAATATTTCAAATTTCGTTGAAGTATCCCTTTAAGGGCTCGTGTCCCGCGTCCCGCAAGAAATTCCCACATCTTCAAAATGTCCGGCATTTCATACTGTCGTGAAATTCATTTTGCAACTCAAGCTGTTGCCGAACAACGGGGCACGGGAAGCGCGGAGGTCGCTGGTAATCCTGTGAATCGCATGGGTACGCCATTTTCTGTTCAAGAATTGCGGGAAGCAACTGCCGTACTTGCAGGAGGACCGACGCGCATACTCTTTTGTGCTTTTCCTCTTGGCGGCAAAAAATTGTAAGAAAAATTGCTCGCCAAAAGTTTAAGTATCAAATATTGTAATTATTTTCAAATCTTTGCTGTGGATTTTTTTTTAGACAGTTACATGAGGCAAAAAGCCTGCACTCACGACGGTCGAAAAAGAACATAATGTTAAAAACTTTGCGTAGGATGCAGGTTGCGTAATGCATTGAGTTCTGCTGCAGTTGATTTGTATGCTTTCAACTTCGACACATTTAATAACATATTTGGCATAAAACAAATATATCACTAAGGGTGAAAATTATTTTAGCCTAATTGCTGCAATTAAATGCGTGAACAGAGTCTCGGTCCATGGTGTGCTTGCTCATAAATAGGGTGTGCATTTTCCGGTTTTAACCGAAAAACACCGATAAACATCCGTCGGTGACGAAAATATAAAATCGGTTAAAACCGAAAAACACCGGTGGTTGGATATTTTCGCCCTGGTTAAAACCGAAAAACATCGGTCGTTGCTATTTTCCGACCTAGCGAAGCCCTTTCCCCGTAGAGGTTCGTCAAACGTGTTATCTCGTGGATCCTGCATTCTTCCAGTGTTTATACATGGCTTTCAGGTGGCGCCAGTCCGCCCTCCTTTCTGGGGGTCAAAAGCGTCTGGTGAACGCAGTGGAAGCTAAGCTCTCATACGCCTTTCCCCTATTGTGTTTCCCATGTCCCTTTTTTGTGGAAAAATTAACACAGTGGAGGGTAGGCTCTCACGTGCCTTTTCCACATTGTGTCTGGCCAAATGATGTCGGTGCAAGCCATGTATTCAGAGGTTGCTGTGGTTCCTGGAAGACACTGCCGACGTCCCTGTCGTACAGGAGCGTGCGTTTTCATAATTGCGGGTTGCGAACCGCAAGGAACGTGATGCCATGACGGCAGCACGTTCCTTGCGTGTAGATGCAAGCATGAAAGTATGCTTGCCTCTACTATAATAACCAAGTGTGAGAAATAGTTGCTTCCTAGAGAAGAAGTGTATGAGCTATGTGAATAAAATTGGAACTCTCTGTCTGTGATCAATCGCTTTTTTTTTTCACCGATAATCACCGTTTTTAGCCTCATCGTGAGATGTTCCACCGAAATACGTCGGTGTTTTGAAAATAAATAAACACCGAAAAACATCCGCCGATTTTTCTCACAAATAAACACCGGAAAGTACACACCCTACTCATTAATCATCCCCACCTCCCTCCTCCCCCCCCTCCCGCCACTTCCCTCCCCCCGGCCATGGTGCACCCCCCCCCCCCCCCCCCCCCCCGTGTCCTGCATTTCGCTCTGGAAGGTGGATATGTATACAGCGTGTAGATCAGCCATTTCAAAGATGCGACGAGTCACTTGCTCTAGATGAGCAATTTAACCAGTGCAGTACCACCGCTAGCCTAAAGTACGATGCTCATCGTGCGGTCGTGTACCATTACGGCGTGGTGCGCGTTAAAGACCCTAGGCTAGCGGTTATACTGCACTGGCTAAATTGCTCATCTACAGTGAGTGACTCGTCGCATCTTTGAAATGGCTGACCAACTACACGCTGTATACATATCCACACAACCCCGAATTATTTGGTTCAGAACGCTCCTCCGAACATTTTGCTTACATTTTGCTAGTGTGGTAATAACATGTTTTACGAACGTCAATATAACATTTACCAGAACATTCTTTTAATGTTTTGTGAACGTTATATTTCTGTTGTAATAATGCTGCATAAAGGATTTGTTTGTTTTACAAATGTTATTACAATATGTTTACAGTAATGTTAGGTTAATGTTTTCCAGACATTATATTTATGTTGCAGAATTGTTTTCCAAGTGTTCAAATAATGTTATCAAAACGCTATAAGAATGTTCTGCCAAACGTTCAAATAGCTTTATACAGGCGGACATTAAGAACATTCCTCAAACGTTTGGGACGAACATGGAAATAATGGTATTTTACTGTTTTCGTGTTACCTGGGTTACCTCGTTTCTTCATACTGGCTACTGCCTGTCAGGAACATCGGTGGTCTTGATAGAACTAAGTTGGATGGACATCTGAGAATTCTAACTTATTAGTTAATACCCTGAAGGCGACACATACGGATTACATGTAGCGATGTAGGAGTGTTGCAGATCTAGAAATAGAGACTTTTTTTTATTATAAGCTCGACCACTTATTCCAACCAACTATTCTTAATCCTAAAGTTATATTGAACGGAAATGTATCACCAGATGCACCACTCGCTGAGAGTAACTCTGTGAAATGACTATTAGCGAGTTCGTTTCACACGCACTGGCACCGTTCGAGTTCTCTCCCAGAATGCATCGCACTCACAGAGTGTTGCACGGAAAACTGGACTCAAACGAACTCGCCAAATGCACCGCGTGCAGAAGACTGATGCTGCCGCCATCTATGTTGTAGAAAAGGTACCGACTTCAAACCGAAACTAGCGCCTTTCTGTTCCGAGTGATGCGTGGTAATGCGCGACTGCAGTCGCTACCAACGTTTATCTACAAACGTTGGCAACTGCAACCTGTAGTTTATACTTCCGATGTCTTCAAGAAGCTCGGCTGCCGAAGAGATAGTTACAGACGGCGTAAATTTCCGCAACCAGCTGTCTACAAAGCAGCTGGTTGCGATCTTTCAATCCTTATAACCGTTTACACTGAAGAAAACTGATGATGCTGTCCGAGCAGAAGCTTGATCCGTTTGAGCATGGTATTATGCGTGAACCACAGAAAGGCTACGGCTTAAAACTAGCCTGTTGGAATATCCAGCAAAACTGGGACTTTCGATTTGGATCGTCATTATAGGTGAATTAGGTATTAGCCTTGGCGAGGCCGTCGAGAACGGGAGCTTTCTCGAACAAAATACGACGGGGCAAGTTAGCTGCGTAGGTAAATGTTAAACATGATGATGTTGCCCAATCCTCGGGTAAACTCACCATCTTTAGCTTTCTCTGATGCTAATTGGGAAGTCAGAGGTTTCTGCTGGGGGAGTTTTATCGGCAAATGTTGAATTTTTCACCCGCACACGGATGGTGATAGACATCTCGGGGGCCGCTGTTGCGTTTGTCCTGAGCATTTCTTTACACACAGGTATATTTCAGCGTTTGAACGGCAACAGAGTGATTTAAAAGCTGCAAATAAATCACGGGTTGTCAATTGCTTCTTTCGTGAAATAGCAGACGCTCACAATTCAAGCTCGCGTTTGATTTCGTTGCCCGCGGGACGGGATTTCTATCAGAAAATCTACTTTTTTTTTTCCGTTCGGTCCCGCGACACATCGTAGCAGACGAATCCTCGTCGTCTGCTCCCGCTCCTCGCCGGCCCCGCCGGAGCGAGGCATGACGGGATTGCATTTTGGCGCACTCCCGATTTTCTCGGTGCAGCGAGTGCATGCACGCGTGGGGTGTCAGCGCTGAAACGAACTCGGAGAGTGCAACCACTCGTGGAGTGCTGGCCGAAACGAACCCGTTCCACGCTGCGAGTGGGCACGCGTGGGCACGAGTGCCGTGAAACGAACTCGCTATATGACATTTCAAGATCCCTCCTCCAGGTCAGACTTGAGAAAAACTAATATTTTTATTTTTCGGTTAATATCGGTTAAAACCGGTTACCGGTAAATAATTTGCGGTTACGGTTACGGTTACTGTTTTTATAATTTTCAAATAACGGTTTCGTTCCGGTTACGGTTACTGAAAAAATTCGTTCCTAAGCGGTTGGCGGTTTCGGTTGCGGTTATGTTTTGTAGGTAGGAATGAAATGTTTCTCTTTTTAGGTGACTCAAGCTACCGCCCACTACAAAGGGTGCAAGTACCATGGCAGATTTACAACTGAGTAGTTCTAGTAACTTTGATATGTGAGAAAAATTGCCAATAAACGCCTTAAAAAATCATTATTTTTAAACTTGGCTATTTTGGCTTTCCAGTCGTTTGTCAGTTTTCTGGTGGGACCATCTGGCAGCATTGGCGCTGATCCGATCCAAGCCAATCCAAGTCTAGTTTTGTGCGTGCTGGCGGCGTGTTGTTCGTTGAGTATGTTTTGTTATCGCTGATGTTTTTCTAGGCGTTTTAACTTCATGTCAACATTTATAAGAAGACGAATGTGAACAACACGGCGCATGGAAGGCACGGACACATGGGTTACGGCGCTGGAGGCTTGGAAGAGTATGGTATTGTAATTGCGTGTTTTGTTTTAGACTTTCGTTTCCTATTATTTGTCTCTGGAGAGTCGGGAGCTGTGGCAGTCAGTTCATCGAACGGCGTTTCATCGACACGCGATTTTTCACCGACAGATTGCTTCATCGACAGCTAAGATTTGCTTTTTTTAATAAGAAGCTGCATGAGACTCGCCGCCAAGCGCCGTGTGCGGGTCATCCCAGTGATACACGCCTGACGAGATATCCCTACAGCATGCAGTTCGCGTAACGAGTGTCGATGCAACGTTCGTGTCGATAAAACGTGTCCATAAAAAGTTGTCCACGCACGAAACGAGTTTCCACGAAGGTTGTGTCTACAGTGCCGTCTGACGGCACTCCACTCGCGCCTAGAAGTGCCGTCAGAAAATGTCAGTCAGAAGTCACGCTTATTCTGACATGGCTCCATCAGCCGATCGCCGACTCGTTTTAACATAAAGCGCGAGCGCGACAAACGCTACAGGAGTGAGCAGCATGCTTTCTCATGTATGTTTATGCCTGCGCGATCTGCTCAAGTTTGCCCAAGTGGCACTCTCACGAATGTAGCGATTGTGATTTGATATAAAATTGAGTAATCTCTCCTTTTCCAGTGGCGGCAGCAACCTCTACAAGACACAAAAACCATAAACGCAACTTTTTTGTAGGGCACAGGTATTTAACCGAAGTATTTGTGAGACCATATTACTAGGCAGGCATTCAACCGTTACGTTCCAGAAACAAGTCGGGGATGTCATTCTTTGGTTTTCAGATACTATTTGTTATGAAGAAAGTCTTATGGAATCTGAGTATATACACATAAGTAGCATATTTAGCACAAAAAAGTACAGCGAAACTGGCCATAGTAATTTCGGTCGATGAGTAAATTGTCGTCGGCAGCAAGATATTCTTCACTGGAGGACAGCATTTGCTCTGTAGGACTGCACTCGAATGTGGACGTAAACCGCCGTCGGACGGCACTTCACGTTCTGCAAGAGTGCCGTTGGACGGCACTTTTGACACTGCGTTCAACGGAACGATAGGGACCCAGTCGGGTGTTCAGAGGAAAGCCGAAGGCCCGTAATGGTTGGCCTGCAAACACCAAGTTAAAATTATTGGACGTGGTGCCGCGTCCAGTAAGGGTGATAATGGGGGGATTTAATATAGACCGTTTCATCCTCCCAAGCATGGGCGCTGCCATCTTGGAATCACGTGACGCGGCAGCCGTTAGGTTGTTTCAACTTGCTGCTCCGCTCTCCCCTCCGCGCCTTGGCGGATGCGTTATATTCGTGTTTTTCGTCGCGTTTCACCGCACTTCCTTGCGTTACTTTGAAAACTGTAGTCGGATACGTCTACCCGACGTCTAAGACATCACGAAGGTTAAAAGGTCTTTATGACAACTGAGGTTTGTTTACTAATAGTGGTGGAACGTTCTCAGTAAGAAGCATGATATTTATAGCGCACATTTAGGATCAAAAGGCGTCTAGAATAGTCAGCGCAAGGAGACTATTTCTGTATTTCCTGAAAGTATCATTCTTTGTATTCATTGACAGATCTTTTTTGGTCTGAGGTCAATGCTTTGATCTAATAAAAACTAACTAATTTAATTGTCCGACATCGGGTACAGAAGTGTCAACGTCGTTCGGGAGCCGTTTCATCTTCCTTTTCGTCGTAGTGCACAGCTCGTGCTCAAGTGGTCGTGGCAGCTCCAATGCTTTGGTCGCATGCTTGCTTCCTTTTTCCAGTGTCCTCGCGTGCTCTGAATAGTTCCATCATTTGTAATATATTGAAACCAGTTTCTGTTGATTATAGGAAACTCGTGGAGGAGATAGGCAAGAAACGTTTTACTTGTATTTTATCTGAGGCTAGAAGTAATGGTACTTCAACATCAGGTGATTGTTTGTTCGTAATATCACACCCACATGTGGATGAGGTTCTCAATCTTTTTGCGACGTAAACGTTCGGTTGGTCATTTTACTTATGAAGTTTAAGAAATTGTATACCATGCTCGCTCCCATTTCGACAGTCATTTAAGTGATTTATTGATTATCTTTATACAACCAGTGCCATTCACTGAATTTATTTTAACATAAAGAAACACCGGAAGCCTGCATGCTGTCTTCAGTGTTTGTCGTAACCAGGACCGGCTCTATCCTGGCCCAGGGGTGTGACATCTGTGCCAATTGTGCCATTTTGATAAACACCCAATTTTCTGCGCCTAGTTGCACCGAAAACGCGAAATTGGTCGAAATCGCGCCAAAGTAACTGAAAAACTAACAAAAAGTTTGTGGTGACGCTCAATTTCGTGGGAAATGAACGCTTGGTTGGCAACATTCAATCTCGTTGTAGTAAAGTACATGGTACGGGTACAGGGTGGCGCAAGCAACCGCCGGATTCGAAGGTTTCAGCTGTAGTACCCTTCTATACCTACGATACCGGTTTTCTCTGATTTTTCTACTACTTTCCGCTGTCATTTGTGACTGCATGCTACCGGTGCGCTGTCACGCGGTCTCGCTCTTTGTCCGCGGGAGGTACGACGCACAGGCTATCAAGATAAGCAAACCTAAGTATTTCTTTCGTTTTGAGAGTAAACCTTTTCTTAAAGGGCCACTCCGCTCAATTCCGAAAAATTTAGGCTTACATGTGATTCAAATTCACAAAGCACTACTAAACAACTCTACGTCTTCGGATTCGCGAATGGTGGAATGTTATTTGTGTAATCCTAATTTAAACATCAGCTGATACCGAAACCGAAACTTCGGTTGCGTCAGGCAACATTGGTCTTGGGTCGTCAGAGTCATGGCCACGTCACGTCGAACCACGTGGTCTTGTGACGTTCGCGAGGGAGCGAGAAACAGGACACGCGACTCGGGCAGGTCGCTTCGCATGGCGTGGACGGTGATGGCCCGGGGAAGAGGGGGAAGGGGAGAAGACGAAAGAGGAGAAGGGGGGCGGAGAAACAGACCGATAAGTGTGCAGTGCAGCGCAAACTAGCGCATCCGTGTTACGGTGATCACGTGAACGCCCGGTCAGCCAACACCGGGAGGAGAAACTCATGACGTCATCGTTCAATTTCGCTCTGAGAAGCAAAAACAAGCAAAACGTGAGAATGACGTAGTCATGCCTCTGACGTAGTGGCTCAATGTCGGCTGCTCCAACTCCGTGGCATTGACTGCGCTGATGATTGCGCCTCGCGCCGCATGCTAGAGTTGGCAGATTTCGGCGACTTGGCTCGCTTGAAAGTTTGCTGGCCAGTTTATTAAATATATAAACGGAATTGGATCGCAATATTTGACATGGGGTCTTCTTATATACTGAAGAGGGCTACATAGTTTTCTAAATATCAAAAATGAAGCGGTGTTGCCCTTTAAAACTGCTATTGAGCACCTTCATTGTGTAATTGTTCATTCGTGTCCGTAATCTTGTCAAAATAGACGGCGCCGTCGCCTGAGTACCTTTGGTTATCACACATATACTTCCAGTGGGTGAACAATCGAATTAATCGGCAGTCTTCGGTAGTAACGCGTTACTGTAACTTCGTTACTTTTTTGGTAACTTGTAACTGTAACAAGTTACTTTTTAAAAATGTAACTTGTAACTGCAGTTCTATTACTTTTCTCTAAGGTAACGATGAAAGTAACGACGTTACTTTTGTCGTTACTTTCCAGTGTTTCATGAATGATCACTGAACGAGTGCAATATAGCCATTCCTTGCACTTTCCAAATCGCCTATTCCGGCATTTCGAGTGTCAAGTTGGCCTTGCACAAAGTTGTGAATACGTTCTTTCTCGCGAGTCGCGACCCGAATATAGCCACGTGTAGATTTGATCAAAAAATATCTAGGTAACTTTACGCATGCGCTTGTACTTTGTGATTGAGCACTTACATCTTAGTGCCTTGAAGCACTACCTATGTTGTGTTTCTTTTCTTTATTTCTGTGCAAACGCTTTTTAATCGGGTGAATCAACCGTGAAACAGCAATACACGTGAAGGGCTCTGCGCATGTCTCGTATTTTGATTAGCACCACTTTGCACTGCGCATGTTTCGCACTGCGTATGCGCAGTACTCCGCACTGCGCATGTTTCGTATTTTGATTTGCGCCACTACTTTGGCATGGAAACTTTCAAACACTAACTTCGAGAAGCAACTGTTGCTAAGTTGCAATATGAAGTAAAGAGTGTATTTTTTAATTTTATGCAATAATACGTTGTGAGAAGCGCTTTCTAGTTTCTTCCTAAATTTTTTTTTGTGTTATAGAAAAAATACTGAAAAGTAACGTTGTTACTTTTTAAAAGTAACTGTAACGAGTTACTCTTTTGTTGCGGTAACTGTAACGGTAACTTCGCTACTTTTTTCTGGAAGTAACTGTAACGAATTACTTTTTAAAAGTAACTTACCCATGACTGTTAATCGGTCACACACCCGTATTTAGCGTGCATGTGCTGCTCATAGTTTTACCTTTTTCTACCAATTCACTCTTTACCTTGTGACTCCCTTCTGTGTGGAGTTTTTTTTTTTTTTTTTCTACACATACTTTTTACGAGCATCAGATCGATGTCGGGTTCTTGTAAACCGTGCTTCCCTGTTCATGCTCTCCAATCATCGCTTTAAAAAGTTTTGCACTACCATTGCGCTTTGGCACCAGTTCTTATAAGCTTGAGGTACCTGGTGCTTACCTAACTTTGTCCTCATCTGTGTGCATTGGACTCATGTTTGCCTTTTCCGTTATTTTTTTTTTCATGTATATTTTATCTCGATGCGTATCGGCGCTGATGACTTATTGGAACAAGGGTGGAAAAAATAACGATTAAAAAAGAAAAATCAAATTTATGTGATTTAAATTAGATTTTTTATGATTTAAATTTCTGATAAGCTGCTCTAAAATGTTCTGCTCCTAATCTGCTCAAAACTAGACTTTTCTGCTTTGAAGTTGCTCCAAAATGCATAAACTGCTGCTCCAAAACAAGAATTTTGTGCTCCTAAGCTGCTCGAAAATCCA